TGGTACTGGTTTCTCAACCTTGGCTACAATTGGAGTTACCTGGTGTAATTGGGCTGGGTGTAGCCTCTGCAGCTAAGGTTGAAAACCACCAACAGAGACATATATATAGGTGTATGTGTGTGAATATATACATACGTTTTTTTTTTTGATTAGTCAAGTGCAATAGTGAGAAGGGGGGGAAAGTAGTAGAACAAAGAGTTCAATCTGTAACAGAACAATCAAGTGAGATAACTACCTTCAGACCAGCCAAAACAGATATATTAACCCTGTGGGACAGAGTGATACCTCTATCAGAATTGCTGTGGAAGGTCAAATGATAGCAGGCAGCCCTCGCTGGTGCAAGTTTTAAGCTCAGACCAAGGAATTTCCCAACTTGAACATATACTTTATATCAATTTCTTCTCTTGAAATAATGGGAAATGAAGCTATAAAAGCACAATGAATGAGAATGCCTAGCAAGCTGCTGTGATACAAAAATGTTACTTCAAGAGTTTGTCTTGCACTTTTGTCTTTTAAATTTGGTTATCTCAGCAAGAATTAGAACACTATTATTATTATTATTATTATTAAGAGACAGGGTCTCCCTCTGTTGCCCAGGCTAGAGGGCGCTGGCACCATCATAGCTCACTGCAGCCTCCAACTCCTGGGCTCAAGGGATCCTCCTGCTTTGGCCCAAAGCACGGGGTTTACAGGTGTAAGCCACCACGCCTGGACCTAAAACACCTTCTTTATATATGAGGAAAGCATTCTTTAGTCTCCTTGCTCTGAAATTTGAGCATGCTTGCTGTGCCCTCCACCACCATATCTGATTCTGTAGATACAGGGTGGGACCTTAGAATTTGCCTTTCAAACAAGTTACCAGGGGACACTTCAAGAACCACTGTTCTAGCCCAAGCAAAAAGAAATACCAGCAAAGACTGAAATCCAGGTTCTCGTTATTCAGTGCTCTTTTTCTTTGCCTTCCCTGGATGTCGTACAGTGCTCTTTCTACTCATCTCACTATCGGTGGTCTGCTTAGATAAATATTTTGACAGAATGTGGAGAAAAAAAATCCGCGATCCTTTTTCTCTCCCCAAACCTAAAGATTGACGAGAAACTGACACAGCAAGATTGAAAGGCAGGAGAGAAAAGAAATCGAGTTTTAGAATCACAACAGGTTTTCAATGCGAGCTCCATGCAAATTGTGTGACTAAGGTGCTTAACGTCTGCAACCTGTTTCTCCATGTGTATTTTTAGCAACCACAGGCTCTCCCTCATTAAGTTGTTCTGAAAAATAAGGGCTCAACTCCTGCTATTTATTACTGGTAGTAATAAGTTGAAAAATAAAACTGATGAAGAAAATACTAAATTGTACCTGAGATTTATGCCATTTGCTGTTAAAACAAAAGATGCTGCCCTAAAGTATCTTCGTCGGGTCGCTTGATGTTTTCCAGTCACTAACCGAGTAGGGGTTAAGACAAATGTCCTAACGCTCATGGAATTTAATGCCACCGTACGTTGTTTTGTTTTGTTTTTTTTTTATTTTGAGACAGAGTCTGGCTCTGTTGCCCTGGCGCGTCAGCCTAGCTCACAGCAACCTCCAACTCAGGGGCTCAAAGCAATCCTTCTGCCTCAGCCTCCCAGGTAGCTGGGACTACCAAAAGCATGTGCCACCAGGCCCGGCTAATTTTTTTCTACATATATATTATCCAGATGATTTCTTTCTATTTTTTTTGGTAGAGACCGGGGCGGGGGTGGGGTCTCGCTCTTGCTGGTCTCGAACTCCTGACCTTGAGCGATCCATCCACCTCAGCTTTCCAGAGTGCTAGGATTACAGGCGTGAGCCACCGCGCCTGGGCCCTGTAGGTTGGGTTTTAAGTGATAAAGAAGCCCATCAGTTAACTGTGGTGAGCAGCAGCAGAGTGCTTCCTGGGAGCCTGGGGCCGCACACCTGGTTTCAGAAGGAAGTGCGCAGATTCCCAGCATCAGACTCCTCAGCTCACTTGGCCGCAGCCACCAGCCCATACCAAAAGCTCTGGCTGCCAATTTTGTGAACTGAAAAACAGGTCAGTGGGGCCACCACATGTCTCCAGCCCCTGAAAGTTGGCTGCAGCAGGTACGCAGGCCCCCTCTTTCCACTGGTAGGTGACTCTCCCAGCGCAGGACCCACGTGGGACCCTGCCGCGTGACCAGGCCAGGCCATCAGCCCCGCGCGTGCGCTGTCGGCCCCGCCGCTGCCCGCGCTGCGCCGGCGCGGGAGAGCTGGGCGAAGGGAGGGGTGCATCGCGCGGTCCTCGCCGCTCCCGCTGCTGGAGCGGTGGTCGCTCAAGGCTTAAGGAGAAAGGCTAGGCGCTGAGTGATGTGAAGAGCATGTTATCATTTTTAAACAAAAACACTGGGCTTTCTGATTTGTACAAAATGAAGGACGTTGCAGAAAGATCATTCTGCTTGCCAGAATTTCACAAAGCCCCTCAGTGACTAAGTGCAGCCGTGGGGAAGAATGCCCTGAAGACGATAAGCAGGATGGAGCACAGGTTCCCAAGTCTCGCCTTAATAACTCTATTTTTAGAAAAGATAAGTGCACTGACCCTCCCTCTTTCCTCTTCCTGTACATAAGATAATGTCCGCCAGGATTAGTGATTACGCCTCTATCATCTATAACCAGATGTACCCTCACACCCAAACCTTGGCGAACTTTCTGTTCTAACGTAACCTCTGAGCCCATGCAGAGCCTCCACCATCGTATGTAAACTGTGGTCCGTAACACTACTTTGGAGCAGTCTAACAGAAACTCTCTGGAAGACTCCCCTGGGTTCCAATCCTTAGTAAGACTTCTGCATAAAACTAACTTTAATTCTTTAAAAGCCTGTTTTTTTCTTTAATTGATACAACTTTGCATTTACATGTTATACCCAATGCATTATTTTATTAAAAACGAGAAGAAATACACTTAATGACTCCCAATCTAGGTCTCTGCCTGGCTTCCCAAGATACTACCATTTGTCGGGCACACACCTTGCTGCTACGTCACGCTGCAGTTCCTGGAAAGGTTCCCTCTGCTATCTTACATCACCAAACTTCAGCTCCAGCTCCCGCTGGTCCTTTTTTTACAGTCACTTCCCCCAAGAAGTCTTTCAGTCTTTCAGGCTGGGTTGACCTCTCCTCCCATTATCAAAAAGGCAACTAGTATTTTTTAACCATCGTCAGTACTTGGTGCCAGGAACAGAAGTGTTCCATAATTCCTAGAATAAGTGAACACATGCTGACTAGATTCTTGGTCTTCATAAGCTGTGGTACAAAATATGCATATCACAACTGCCAGCTCACAAGGTCAAGGGCTAAATCAAAAATTCTTCTCGGCCAGGCGTGGTGGCTCACGCCTGTAATCCTAGCTCTCTGGGAGGCCGAGGCAGGCGGATTGTTTGAGCTCAGGAGTTCGAAACCAGCCTGAGCAAGAGCGAGACCCCATCTCTACTAAAAATACAAAGAAATTAATTGGACAACTAAAAACATATATAGAAAAAATTAGCCGGGCATGGTGGCGCATGCCTGTAGTCCCAGCTACCTGGGAGGCTGAGGCAAGAGGATCGCTTGAGCCCAGGAGTTTGAGGTTGCTGTGAGCTAGGATGACGCCACGGCACCCTAGCCCGGGCAACACAGTGAGACTCTGTCTCAAAAAAAAAATAAAAATAAAAAATTCTTCTCAAAGGCTTTTCTAAAAATTTTAGCATACGCTGTTTCCTCTCTCCAACATAAAACTTTACTTGAGAGCCTCTTTCCACTGGGACGGCCACCTACAGTCACATGAATCCTGAACTAAGGGATGTTGAACTTCCACTAGCATTTTTAAAACATGAAAATAGCAGCAAATGACATTACCTGGGCCGAAAAGTTGTAGGTTTTGTGGCAAAAAGGGAATAGGTTATAGATTAGGACTGGGAAAAAAAGATTTCTTAGTGCTGTTCAGAATTAATTTAGCCAATGTTGAGCATTACTCCATGCCAGGCACAAGATCCTACTGTATTTCAAATCACAAAGGTAAATTAAAGACTGCAGAATTTTTTATAAACTTCCCCCACTAGTTTGTACCTAATAAATACTAGTATTAAAAGGGGGCATAAAAGGCCCACAGAAACAAGAATTCACTTTCTCAAGTGCCTAGCACGGTACCTTCATACATCATCATAGGTGCTCCATATATCTTCAGTTGAAATATGAAAGAGACACCCACGTGCAAAATATCTTCAAGGGCTTTGCTGGCTTTTAAATTTTTTGCTTTACCTAACAGGTAATGATGTACATTGCAAAAGACACTTCTAAATCTCAGGTCCTTTTCTAATTTTTCTTCAGAACAACAGCACATTTTCAATGCCAAATCCTCCTCCACCTGCAAAAAAGGAGATGCCAAAACTTTGACTTCTCATAACAGATCCTGCAACTAGTTCCACCCAGAAGATGGAGATAATATTCCCTGGAGTTGGCCTGAATATGTGAAAAGGCACAGCTCAGAATGAGTGGAAGGGTAAGGGCAGTGAAATGAGATCATATGTATTACCTGGTCTTTTCATATGTCAGATTATCCTACCTTCCCAGGAATTCACTTCATGCTGGACTTGAGATTCAGGGATAATAATGTTAACTCCCCCCCACCCCCCCGCCGACTTGATACTAAGTAAATATGTTAACTAGATGAGCACTTATTTAGTTAAAAACAAAGTCTCCAGAAAGGTATAAAGTTTATTAACATCTTTAAAAAAAAAAGATGGATCAGAACACAGCTACTGAATATGGGATAGTTCCTTATTTACAAGTTTTACTATGGGAGGCACATTTTAATCAGCACTTCAAATAATCAGACAGTACAACTTTTTTTCTAGAAATATCCGTATCTCTCTCTCCAGGTAGAAGATTAATGAAAACATTAAGTGACTGCCCCAGTTAGAAGCAGATAAACTAACACCTTAAAAATATATAAAAAAGGGTAACTGCTACTTAAACATAAATTTTCACAAAATTATTCTTGTGGCTAATTCAGACAATGTGATTGCTTAGAAAAGCTGGCCTAAAAAAAAAAAAAAAGCATCACATGAACATATCTTCATTTAAGTACATGCTGTCAAGCTAGTTTAAAAAAGAAAAGTTGAATTAGGGTTTCCAGAGCTTTAAGAGTCCATCTTCACTGTAGGTAGCAATCAGGTTCTGGTGAGGGTGATGTGCAATACCAATCACATCCTTCTCGTGAACCTAGAACAGGTAAAGTGCAGGGTTAGGTGTACAGGTCTATACCAAATCACTCAAAAGAGGCTTCCAGAGCTGGGTGGGAGGGAAGAAGAGATCTTGGGAGGTCACATATTCCAAATGGTACAGATGAAAGATGAAGGAGGGTTATCCAACTCAACTAACATTGTGACATAAGAAATAAACTTACTGTGTTAAGCCACTGAGATTTGGGGAATGTCACATCAGCTAGCATCACAATTACTCCTTGTGCTGACTCTAATAACATGGAGCTGAATGTTTTCAAAACATCTTAATCAATTTGAGAGTATAATGTACAAATAATATGCCTTCAAAACAACAAGGAAGAAAGTACCAAATTGTCACTCTACCACCCTCACAAGGAGGAGGATTTGGCTAATCTAGCTCCCAAGCTTCTCTGCTTTATGTGTACCCATAATACCAACCTGAAGCTGAGGGGTGAAGGATGACTTTCCCTGACAGCTGGCCTAAGGAGCTAAATTTATATAATTACTTATGAACCCTTAATTTTATTTAGTGATAAAATGCCTCCATTACAGTTTTTATTCTGAGGTTCACATTGATAGCAGTCAGTCTATAAAAGGTGTGTACTTCAGAAGTCAGAAAGACGCAAGCATTACCATATTTCTTTGGAGGATCTTAAGTCAGTGATACTCACTGTCAAAGTTCTCTCCAGCTTGCCAGTGACTGTGCTGAAACAGTAGAGCACAAAGTCTTCTCCCACACAGTAGATCCATTCACCACGAGGAGAGAGGGCGCAGCATACAAAGTCCCCACCTTCTCTTTTACCAGAGCTGAAGCTTCTGACAATCTAGATTATACCACACCCCAAGACAAAAACAAGACACCTGCATTAGCAACAGCTCAACCATGTTCTGACATTTTTACATTGTTATTTTGCACTCTGGTTTACTGTCATTTATAATTACATCTCCAATTCTGTTCATCATGTGCTAAATCCTCTTGCCTGGAAAAAATTCAATAAATAAGCTATCTAAAGTGGCAGACAAAAATTTCAAATTTCAAATCACCAATCCTAAAGAGCCATATTACCCTGAAGTAAATTCATTACCACACACACAATTTTCTAATTCAATATACCACTAGTTCTCAATGCTTTCTGGATCCATGTTCCCCAGTTTCCTCTTTCTAACAGAGTAAGATGCTTTCCCCATTTTGGATGAAACTGTCTCTAAGACTTTGCGTGTTCTATTTTATATAACATTAAAATCACCAAAAATCAAGCTGAGAGAAACCAATCTCAAAAGGCTAAAAGGATACATACTATATGATTCCATTTATATATCATATTCAAAATGGCAAAATTGTAATAATGGAAAACAGGTCAATGATTGCCAGGGTTTAGGGCATTTAAATTAATTAATTAACTTGAAATTAAAAACATAATACCATTTATATTAGCATCCCCCCATGAAAATACTTTAGGTATAAACCTAACAAAATATGTACAAGATTTATATGAGAAAACTATAAAACTCTGATGAAAAATATCAAAGAAGTTATCAAACAGATATTCCATGTTCATGAATAGAAAAACTCAATATGGTCACGATGTCAGTTCTTCTCAACTTGATCTACAGAGTCCATGCAATCCCAATCAAAATCCCAGTAAATTATTCTGTAGATAATGACAAACTGATTCTAAGTTTACATAGAGAGGCAAAAGACCCAGAATAGCCAACTTGGTATTAAAGGAAAAGGACAAAGTTGGAAAGACTGAAAATACTCAACTTCAAGACTTACTATAAAGCTACAGTAACCAAGACAATATGATACTGGCAAAAGAAGAGACAAACAGACCAATGGAACAGAATAGAGAGCCCAGAAATACACTCACATAAATACAGTCAGCTGATCTTTGACAAAGGAGCAGAAGTAATATAATCTTTTCAATAAATGGTGTCAGAACTGAACATCTACATGCAAAAAAATTGAATCTAAGCACACAAAATACCTAAGATCTTACACTCTTCCCAAAATTTAACCCGAAACTGATCACAGACATAAACATAAAATTCAAAAATTTTATATAGAACTCTTAGAAGATAATAAAGGAGAAAATCTGGCTGATCCTGGGTTTGGTGATGACGTTTTAGATACAAATCTAAAGGCATGGTCCATGACAGAAAGGAATGATAAGCTGGACTTCGTTAAAATTAAAAATTTCTGCTGTGTAAGAGCACTATCAAGAAAATAAAAAAGACAAGCACAGACTGCGAGAAAATATCTGCAAAAACATATTGGATGGGGGGCAAGGGGGTAAGGGTAATGTAACCTAAACATCTGTACCCCCATAATATGCATAAAGAAAAAAAAAACATATTGGATAAAGAACTATTATCCAAAATATACAAAGAACTCTTAAGATACCATTACACATCTATTAAAACGGCCAAAATCCAGAACACTGGCCACACCCAATGCTGGTGAGGATGTAAAGCAACAGGAACTCTCATTCTTTGCCAGTGGGAATACAAAATGACACAGCCACTTTGAAACACAGTTTGACAGTTTCTTACAAGACTAAACATACTTTACCATATGAACCAGCTATCACACTACTTGATGTTTATTTACCCAAAAGAGTTGAAAACATGTTCACACAAAAACCTACACATGGATGTTTATAGCAGCTTTATTCATAATTGCCAAAACTTGGAAGCAGCCAAGATGTCCTTCAAAGGTGAACGGATAAATGAACTGTGGTATACCCAGACAATGAAATATTATTCAGCACTAAAAAGAAATGCGCTATCAAGCCATGAAAAAACAAAGAGAAAGCTTAAATGTATATTATTAAGTAAAAGAAGTCAATCTGAAAAGGTTACATAATATAGAATTACAACTATATGACTTTCTGGAAAAGGCAAAACTGTGGCGACAGTAAAAAGATTGGTGGCTGGCAGAAGTTAGGGGGGAGAGAGGGTTGAAGAGACAGACCACAGAGGATTTTGTGGGCAGTGAAACTACCCTGTATGATACTATAATGACAGACACATGCCATTATACATTTGTCCAAACCCACAAAATGTACAATACCAAGAGTGAACCCTAATGTAAACTATGACCTTTGTATGACAATGATGTGCCAGTGTAACTTCATCAACTGCAGCAAATGTACCACTCTGGTGGGGTATGTTGATAATGGAGAGACTATACATACGTGGGGTCAGGAAGTATATGGGAAAACTCTGTACTTTCTGCTCAATTTTGCTGTGAACCTAAAACTGGTCTAAAAAATAAAGTCCTCAGTGCTGCTTCTTGATTGGTACTAAAAATTTAAAATAAAAAATAAGTCTATTTTTTAAAAAATGGCAAAATTATAACAATGGAAAACTGATCAGTGGTTGCCAGGGGTCAGGGTTGTAGACTGGGTATGACTATAAAGATGTAGCATGAGTTTCTCTGGGGGTGATGAAACAGTTCTGTATCCTGAATGTGGTGGTAGTTACGTGAATCTGTACATGTAATGAAACTTCATAGAACTATTGCATCCCTGCCTCAATAAATAAATAAATAAATGCATGTAAAAACTGATGAAATCCAAATAAGATTTGTAATTGAGTCAATAATTGTAACGATGTCAATTTCCTAGCTTTGATAATTGTGCTATGGTTATGTAAGATGTTATCAGTGGAGAAAGCCGGGAGAAGGGTACACAGGAACTCTGTACTGTTTTTGTAAGTTCTATGTGAATCTAAAATTATTTTTTCAAAATAAAGTCTTTAAAAAGTCAAGCAGAGAACTATGAAGTGTGCTTAGCAGTGCATTGGGCAGCTGTGGCTATTATGCAGTGGCCCAACAGATCAACTGGAGACCACCCCTCTCAGCCATGGGCTCTGAACTACTATTTCAGTTATAGGACTCAGAGGATATAGACAGACAGTACTACACACTAGCCCCGGGTCTTCCCCATGCTCAGCAAGATCCCCAAGTGGCCAGGCCAACATTCCAGTAGCACCACGACTCACGTGGAGGGAGCCTGAGACCCAACCTTCATGTTCTGAATACCCTAGTGCTATCTCACAGCCTACAAAAGTGAGATTCCTTGGGAACCCTGCAGGTGTCCTGATGAAAAATATACAATATGAGGACACTGCTGCCTCTCTCCTATAGTGTTCCACTTCAGACCACTTCAGATGTGGTAGTTAGGAGATGTCTCAAGTTGGTAACCCACACCACATTATATCTCCCCAACTCAAAGACTGTTATCTTAAAATCTTCAGTGAGGTTTTGAAGGAGGCTTAAAGATAGGTCAGAGCCTCATTTATACAAAGGATGAAAAAGAAAGAGAATACACAAACACCCCAGGAAAAGGAGATAACTTTTTTTTTTTTTTGAGACAGAGTCTCGCTTTGTTGCCCTGGCTAGAGTGAGTGCCGTGGCGTCAGCCTAGCTCACAGCAACCTCAAACTCCTGGGCTCAAGCAATCCTTCTGCCTCAGCCTCCCGAGTAGCTGGGACTACAGGCATGCGCCACCATGCCCAGTTAATTTTTTTCTATATATATATTTTTAGTTGTCCAGATCATTTCTATTTTTTTTGGTAGAGACGGGGTCTCGCTCTTGCTCAGGCTTGTCTCAAACTCCTGACCTTGAGCGATCCACCCGCCTTGGCCTCCCAGAGTGCTAGGATTACAGGCGTGAGCCACCGCGCCCGGCCAGGAGATCACTTTTGAAACAACAAAGATATTTTGTAGAGCTATAAAAATATCCGAAAAACACGGCTTATATGGTTTACAGAGTGGTGAAACCACATTAGGTTACTGGGAATGCCAGGACCAGGACATGCTAATTTGGCAATAGCCAACAGGTCCCATGCAAAGGTTTTTTTTTTGAGCACTCACCTGGCCCTGCATGTTCATGATGACAACTGTGTTTGATCTGTTGCACACTACAAAGTGCTCTGGGTTTTTAGGAAGCAGGATCACACTGTTGACAGTAATGTCTGTTCCTGCGGTGCTGCCCAGGGATTTAAAGGTATTTGAGCATTCTGTGGTCTTCATATTCCAGATCTACCAGACAAAAATTTAAGGCATACACATTTTTGGGGTATAAGAATTTCTAGTTTTAAGGTTTAAAAAATTAAGAATCAGGTTACTAAAATAGAATAAAACTGACTCAGAAAAAAAGCTTCTTATTTGATTTTAGGTCCAGTCAAATACCCAGCATTGTCATATATAGTTGTCCCTTGGCATCCGTGGGGAATTAGTTCCAGGACCATCATAGGATACCAAATTTCGAGATACTCAAGTCCCTGATATAAAATGGTGTAGAGTATTTGCATATAACCTACACACATCCTCCCGCATACTTTAAATCATCTCTAGATTATTTATAATATCCAATACATGCCCACATAGTACTTCATTTGTGTGGATTCAATGCAGAACTCAGCACAGGCCAAATTCAAGTTTTGTTTTTCGGAACTTTGTGGAATTCTTTTTTTTTTTCCTGAATATTTTCAATCCATAGTTGGTTGAATCCACGTTACAGATAAGGAGGACCAAACAGTGCACAGTAATTGTTCATCATCTATTTGTTGATTAATTGGCAAAAACAAAAGTCATAAACCAAATAACAAAACCTTTTAAAATCTATGCTCTTATACAGTTTTCCTTAGCTAACAGAAGTACCTTTCTAAAATTAGTTATGGTGTCAACACTGCTACTATCATCAACAACCATAAAGCTACCTTTGTCTGGACATTAAAACTAAATGGGGCTTTTTTTTTGAGATGGGGTCTCATTATGTTGCCCAGGCTGGTGTCAAACTTCTGAGCTCAAGCAATTCTCCTGCCTTGGCCTCCCAAAGCCCCATTTGGTAAGACAAGCCAACTCCCAATGGTATTTACAAGTTATGAGGACCATATGCATAGCACAAAGAGGGCAAATCCCATGACGAGAGTACAAAGAAAGGCTGGGCACCGTGACTCACACCTGTAATCCCAGCATTTTGAGAAGTCGAGGTGGGAGGATCTTTTGAGGCCAGGAGTTTGAGACCACCCTGGGCAAAATAGTAAGATCCTGTCTCTACAAAAAAATAACTTTTAAAAAGTAAAAAATAAAGTACTAAGAGCTCTGCTGTTTCCCCATCCATCCTGAGGGGATGTACATCTCCTGTCTTCAGGTTTCTGGTTCAATTCTCAAGCAAGAACAAGCAATTTCAGAGGTGGTCTGACTTTTAGATACCTAAATGTATATCTAAAATGTCTAGATCTTTGTGTTAAAATGTTTATATTAAAATGTCTAGATCTTCTGCCACAAAGCACTCAATTAGATAAGGCAATTTAAAAGAAGAAAATCCAGAATATAAATGGACTGTCTCAAAGACCTCTAAAAATTTTCTATTTGGGTTTTTCATTTCCTTTCTAGGAAATGAAGCCCTCTCTTCAAATAATTAAATCTTTTAAGGTACTAAAGAATAATTACTTTCAGCTGAGAGCTTGTAAACAAGTATCCGGGAGAAGGCTTAGTTTACTCCATACCTCTCCTAATCCTCTATAAAAATGCTGTTAGGAAGGTCCTAAATTTAGAGATCAGAGGTGGAGGGAGGCTGTGCAACAAAAAAAAGATCTATTTATTTGGCCACTCAGACCTTCGTAAATTGACTGTTAGGAGGTAGACCATACCTACAGCAAGATAGATTTAACCACTGTGCGTATCTGTAAAAGGGGGATGACTTAAATTTAGGACTCACATGATAAATCTGTTTGCATTTGGGGTCCCTAGGTGAATAGGGATTACCCACAGAATATTACTGTTGTCTCAGACTCATCTCACTATGGCTAAAATAGCAAGTAAAGAGGTTTATTTCACCACAATCATTGCCATTATCACCACTGAAAACTCCTCAAGGGTAAAGACGGAACAGACATACCAAAATAAACTGGTAGCAAATACTTAACCTTTACAGTGCCATCAGAGGATGCACTAATAATATAATGTCCATCTTGTGTAAATGTTGCTTCATTAACAAAGGAGGAATGACCACGAAATTCCTTCAGGGTTTTCCCAGATTTCAAACCATGAATTCTACCACAAACAAAAACAAATGAAAAGAACAATTAATATTTGATAATATTATGCTTGGGATCAAGTATTAAATGCATTTTAGATAAATTATAGAAGCTCATGTTATAATATTAAGTGAATAAGGCTATGTGATTGTGTATGCAGTATAATTTTCATTATGTCAAACAATGAAACAAAACCAAAACAAAAACTTTGCAAAGACTGGAAAAAAATATGCCAATAATAACACAAGCTTCTGTTCAAGGACAGACCTCTAAAAAACGAGTTATCAAGAGATTCAGAATCAGTGGGTCTCAACTGGGTCCCAGGAATCTGTATTTGCAACAGGCTCTCTAAGGTGATTATGATGCAGGTAAGTCCATAAGACCACATTTAAGAAATATAAATTAGGCCGAGCATGGTGGCCCATGCCTATAATCCTAGCACTCTGCAAGGCTGAGTCAGGAGGATGGCTTGAGCTCAGGAGTTCAAGACCAGCCTGAGCAAGAGTGAGACCTCATCTCTACTAAAAATAGAAAAAATTAGCCAGGCATGGTAGCACATGCCTGTAGTTTCAGCTACATGGGAGGCTGAGGCAGAGGGTTTGCTTGAGCCCAGGAATTCGAGTTTGCAGTGAGCTGTGATGATGCCACTGCACTCTACCCAGGGCAGCAGAGTGAGACTCTGTCAAAAAAAAAAAAAGGAAACATGAATCACGCTATACTCCCTCTTCTTGGTAAAGACTCAAATGGACAGAATAATAACACAATAACACTACATCAGCTATACTTCGGCGAAATGAGGTCTCTCATACCCTCCCTCTCTGTATCATACATACAGTCCTGATGAAAGCATAAAGAATCCCTAGTACCTACCTCATATCAAACTCAAGTGAGGGCAGTTTTGGGATTCTTACTTACCTAATTGTCTGGTCAAAAGAAGCACTAAGGATCTGACTGCTATCCTTAGAAAAGCTTAGACAGGTGACACCTTTACTGTGTGCCCTCTCAAATCTCCTTAAACACTGTCCACTCTGAATCTTCCATACCTTTATTTAAAAAAATAAAGACTTGTAAACAGAGTGTCCCACTATTGCCCACAGAGTCAAACAACATGCAATGCTCACTATTGTACTAAAACAGCATTAAAAATGCATGCTAATAGCTGAATATGATATGTCTGGTTCACATAGTACAATGATAACCGAATCCTTTGAAACTTAAAACTCTTTCCTTGTAAATTATTAAAACAAAAATTTAAACTCTAAGTTCACTTAGCAAAGACCATTTCTGTATTTTATCTAGCACAGGATATATTACCAACAATTAAATACAAACCACAGCCAATTGGCTACAGACCATCCCCTAAAAAAAAATCAAATTATAATACATCATATAGAGTGAGCCAGAGTGGTACAACAGAAAGGGCATGAGCGGATTTGGCCTAAAGTCCCAGATCTATCTATCACTTACCAACTGTGTGACCTCAAACATGTTACTGACCACTCTAGGCAGAGTTATTATTAGGATTAAACAAGAAAAAGTAAAGTGATTAGCATAAAGTTTATGCTCAATAAACAGTAGCTATTATTAATGCTGAATATCATGTGTAGGACACCACTCCATTACAGAACATTCAAAATGTCTCTATACAAGAGCTCGTGTCACTAACGCATACCTTGATTTTTCCATCTTGGGCCCCAGTTGCTAACATTTCTGTATCTCTGCTGAAACACATGCAGAGGACAGCATCATCCATCATCATGAAGTTATCCTGGGCCTGGTACTTAAGATCCTAAAGGAAACAATGGTTAGCAGTTACAAAAATAACACCAACGCCAAGGCCCCACCATAGTGGTCCAGGGCTCTACAAACTCACTAAAGGCAGGATAATGGATTATGCCTACTCTAAAACTCCAAAGCAAATAAATAGCAGTGCCATGCATACATGTTCCTAGTAAGCAGCTAAAATCGCTGGGGACAAATAATTTTACACTATTCTCTAAATTGATGTTATAAAAAATGCCAACATAATACCCTAGATCTTTTGTTTACTGATCTTTTCTAGGCAAAATTTCTCTACAGTTTTATATTTCACTTACTTCAGGGTATGATGTGAGAAACTAAACTAATATTTTTTCCAATTGCCAGCTACTTTTCCTGAAACCAGATATTGACTAATGATGCTTCTTTTATTGTCCGTTATTATTCAAATGCAAGTATCTCTATTATTTTTTTCTAATAATAAAGTGAGACTGCTTCATGGTTAAAAAGAAGAAAGCAAACTATACAGAAATACATAAAATAGAAAGTGAAAATCACTCATAAATCCATTAACCATGGATTGGAATTTAGTAATCTATGATAAAAGATTACATTTTAAATCAGTGGATAAAAGATAGTCAACAAATAGCTATTTGGGAAAAAATACTAAGTTAGATCTACGCCAGCTTTACCTCTCCAAATTCCAGCTGGGCCAAAAATTAAACATACAATGAAATATTAAAGTACTAGAATAAATTGCAGTAGAACTTTACAGAAATTGTAGTAGTACTTTTGAAAGAGAAAAGATGAGTAAGTTTGATAATACAAAAAAATTTCTTAAGTCTATAAAACAAAACCAGCAAAATCAAGAGTCAAAATTGTGCTCACTTCAGCAGCATAACATATATTAAAATTTGAGCAATACAGAGACTAGCCAAAAAAAAATGTTTTTAAATCCAAATTGAAAAATATCTGTAATGCATATTATGGAGGTTGATTTCCTAAAAATATAAAGAGCTCTTACAAATCAATAAAAAACAATCCAATAGAAAAATGGGCAAAGGATATTAACACACTTCAGAGAGTAAGAAATATTAGTGGCTTTTCACATATAAAAAGATGTTTAACTTCATTCACAATAAAAGAAACACAATTAGTACTACCACTAGGTTAGACTGAAACAATCTTATACCAAGTGGCTAGTTAGATATATCATGGTTCAATCCACACAACTGAATATAATACAGCAATGATCTCTAAGATATACTACATAGGGAAAAGCAAGGAGGAGAACAGGGTACACAGTATACTGTTATCTGTATAAAAAATTTGTTTGAAAAGGATACATTATAAGTAACTGCTTACATACACACAGAATATTCCAGGAAGGTTGCATATAAAAAACTGGTAACCCTGGCTGGCCCAAGGAAGGGAAGTGACTGGCTGAGGGACAAGGGAAAGAGCAAAACTGTACTTGAAAAACTTTTTCTATTTTTTGAATGTTGTATCAGATGTACATATCACCCATCCAAAAAAATTTAAATTAGATTAAAAAATTATAGATAATAAAGGTCCTCCCTTGGTTAATAATAAAATCAGAGTTTAATTAAAAATTACTTTAAATGAGGGTTTTTGTTTGCTTTGTGTTTTAAGAGACGGGGGTCTCACTATGTTGTTCAGGCTGGCCTTGAACTCCTGTGCTCATGTGATCCTCCTGCCTCAGCGTCCTGAGTAGCTGGGACTACAGGCAAGTGCCACCATGCCTGGCTTTAACGGAGTTTTTATTAAATAAGGTACAAAAGTAATATATGTTCATTACATACAGATCCTTTCTCAACTAATCTGATTTAGAGTTAAAGCACAGATAAGTAATCCAAAGTCAGTAATTCTACCACTAGGAAAGTTAATATATTTAAAATATTTTACCTTCCTGATTTTTCCAGTAGTAAAGTTCCACACTTCAATGAATCCATCAACAGACCCAGTGACCAGATACTGACCATCTGGAGAAAATCGAGCACACTCCACATGTGATTTCTGACCAAACTGTTTCAAATGAAACAATGAAACAGATACATATTTAATCTAGTGGCCTTAAAACAATTTCCATTCTAATCTTTTGAAAAACCCTGCCCTAGCATAAAATCACAGCTGGCCCATGAGTATTGGAGGGGCATTTCTGTACCTCGACACAGGAAACCAGTGGATGTATCTTCTCTGACCAGTTTTATGTCTAGGTGCTCAGTTTTTTTAATGTAAGACTGGTATTTCCAAAGAAGAGGGAAAAAACTATTTTAAGATGGGACTTAGAACAAATAATCCTGTTAGCTCAGACCATGAGTTTTTGCTAGTATCAGCCACTGTTAGCATGAGTTTCCCACTAAACTTAATATGGCCTAATATGTTCCTATTGTGCATCTCAAGGAAAAACTCATTTTTTCAAAGTAAATGTACGTTTTCCTATGCTATTTTGTAAATAAACTTTCCATCACTGTTTCATGACCTTCACTTAATCAAGAGATAATATGTATCTGACCAAATCTAGAATAACCAATTAAAGCTGATAGACTTTGTCTGGTAAAGGCACTCTGAGCATTTATCAGTGATGACGCTCCCGATGACAGACAAAAAACTACAGAACATTAGATAGATGGAAACAAAAAAGAGAAGCTCTAATGTGGATTTCATTTTAAATGCCAAAAAAGGAAAGCGTTTTTAACAGAAAATCTTAGTCCAGCAGCATAATTATAATGGATTTCTATTTGTGTCAAGGCTTCAGGCAGAGTAAATAAAGGTGCCACTCAAAAATATCTTACATACAAGTTATAACATATAATCCAGAAAAGACAAATCCAAAACACTAAGCCAAAATTGAAGATTTGAGGAATATGAAATATTTTAAAACTCAAGAATTCAATTTGAGCACAAACCCAGAGAAACTGTAATATAAAAGAGATGCTAAAGTAGCAAATATACTTGTGACTCTGGGAATTGCAGCAATTACTCAGTTGTGTTTTTTCATAGAAAATTCTCAGATTAAAACAAACAAAAAACAAACAAACAAAAAAACACACAACTGGCCAGATTGTTAACAATGATAAAATCATTTTCCCCAAATATCACATAAACCCCAAATCCATGACTTTCACTTTGCCTGACACATACCAGGCTAAAACAAAAATGTTCAACAGGACAAGTATATAGAAAGTCTACAGTTAGTCTCAGGCTTAACCAAAGAGCAAGGCTAGATGTCACGTGTATGTCCATTTGGTTACACATCTGAGGTGTGCCACTGCCAGGCCACAGCAGTATCCCAGGGGACACTGACAGTAACCTTGAATGCTGTCAGAGCTGGAGAGTGAGTTCCCCTCCCCAAATACCCAACCTCCTGGCACAAGGTCTAGCTGAGCCCATGATGAGCCCTCAACAAATGATTACCGATTGGCTGAGTGTCTAAGGATCCTACCTTAATATGTCTGCTCAGCTGCGTAGGAAACTTTTCCTCTTCCACATCTTTGACAGCTGCTTTGCCTCGAAACAAATCTATAGTCATACCAGGAGGAAGCAACCCCTGGTGCTGCTGCCATTTCAGTGCCTATGAGAAAAGAAAAGTATAGCAATCTGCTCAAGTGCTTTTAAGATCTGGTCATGATTGCTCAGATGAAACCAAGCCCAAAAGGATGAGGTTCAGAGGAAATCATGAGGCATCCAGACCCAACTGTTTCTGGTCATCCAAACACAACATGATCTGTGCTTTTCTGTGTGTCCAAGAACACGGGCTGATCGCAGGGTGGAAGGGGACTCAGAGCAAACAAGTCTATCTATCCTACACCTATTTTCTTTTCTTTGTTTTTTTGAGACAAGGTCTCACTCTGTTGCCCAGGCTAGAGTGCAGTGGTGTCATCATAGCTCACCGTAGTCTCAAACTCTTGGGCTCAAGCGATCCTCCCATACACATCAGCCTCCTGAGTAGCTGGGACTACAGGTGCACATCACCACTCCTGGCTAATTTTTCTTTCTTTTTTTTGAGATGGGGTCTTGCTATTTGCCCAGGCTGGTCTTGAACTCCTGGCCTCAAGCCATCCTCCTACTTTGGCCTCCCAAAGTAATAGGATTACAGGCATGAGCCACCAGGCCTGGCCACCTACACCTATTTTCTTACAGGTGTGGCTCTTTTATTATAAACAAAATTTGGAAAACAGAAATTTCCTATAGTCTCAACACCCAAACATAGCCACTGTTAACATTTTATATACAACTTTCTTTTTCCCCCTTACATAAGTGTTTAATTAACCCAGTTGCAATTGCGCTATGTTATTCTCCTGTTTTCACTATCATCAGATCATACTATGATTTAACTATCATTTTAATGACTACAAGATATATCCTATCTAGTGGATGTTTCACAGTTTACTTAATCAATATATTTGTGGACATTTACACCGCTTCCAATTTTTCTCTCATTTAAATAATGTTGCAATGAACATCTTTGGACATAAGGCTTTCCTATTTTGGGGATATTCCTCTCTTAGAGCACACTCCTAGAAGAAGAATTTCCAAATTCAGGAAAGAACATGAATGATTATGGGCCTTGATATATATTACCCTTTTGCTTTCCAAAAGGGCTGCTTTCAAAAAAAGCTACAACCGCAAGAGTGTTCACAACTGCAACATAAGAGGTGAAAATCATGGCCTTTGGTGACAGACAGTTCTAGGCTAGACCATTTACTAGCTGTCATTTTGACTTCCACTTTTGCCAACTGAAAAAGTCAGAAAAAAAGCCTAATTCTTAGGAGATGCTGAAAGGATAAAACAAAATAATAAATAGGTACATGCTCATACAGCAAGCACAAGTATCAACATTTACTCCCCTTTACTTTTGTTAAACCAAGAAAATCCAGTAATTTTTTGGACATCACATAAAAACTTTCATAGGTAGAAAGTTATAATACCCTGCTTTAGTCAGTTCTCTGATTAATGAGTTTGAACTTTTCTCTATTTATTAACTAGATCTATTGCCTCTTCTGTTAACTGTTTTTTTTTTTTTTGCAACTTAGAATGCAAAATATTTTATTTTTAAACTTCTAAGATTTGAAAACAAGATAGTCTAGGTTTTTCTAGACATAGTTTTCCAAAGCTGAATGTGCTCATTTGGAGCTCAGTTTTTTCTGTCTGAAATACAAAAACAACTTCCTAAAACTCTAGGAAGTGCAAACACTACTGTTTTGATGATCTATGATTAGATGAACTGATCAATCTCAGTTGGTAATATCCCTTTTTTTCCTTGGTAAGGGTTTAAAAAGTTCTAGAATCAGTGCATTTTTCTGGTCTTACACTGCCAATTTCATTCCAAACGTCTCCTGGGAGGCATATACCATGTACAGGAACCCGTCTTCATCGTTCTCACTCTCATACACCTCCAAGATGAGCACGGAGGCACTCACCATGCTGTGTCCATTCACTAGCAGGAAGAAGCCTTGATTAGTGCACAGCCATAAGCATCTTCTAATTATCTTGATGAGTTCACTCATGTTGACATAATCGGGTACGGAAAACTTGGTTTTATCCAGGACAGGAAGCTGCTTCTCACCCTTGTATCGTTCTATTATCACTGGGATTTTGATAGGATGCTGCTCTTGGATAAGTCGGACATCTTCTACTCTTTGTGCGAAGGTGTGGCGCTGCTTGAAGGTCTTCTCCGAAGGCATGGGGTGGGGACTGGCCAGCGGCGAGAAGGGTCCTAGAGGTTCTAGGGGACTGCAGAGGCTCTGACTCTGGCAACAGTGACTTCCCTTGTGTCTCTGTTAACTGTTTATTCATATTCTTTGCTCACTTACCTATGGTAGTCTTACTATTCTTTGCAATTGGTGAGCTTTTAATGTGATAAAGGTATTTGTTGTTTATGTTTGCTGCAAAGAATCTTTTTCCCAACTGCTTATTGATTTATTTTGAGACAGAGTCTCTCTCTGCTGTCCTGGGCAGAGCGTAGTGGTGTCATCTTAGCTCACTGCAACCTCAAACTCCTGGGCTCAAGCGATCCTCCTGCCTCAGCCTCCCAACTAGCTGGGCCTATAGATACATACCACCAAGCCTGGCTAGTTTTTCTTTCTTTCTTTTTTTTCTTTTTAAGCCTTTTAATTTTTATCACTCAAAAAAGTGATTTTCTTATTTAGATTTCTGACTCTGTGCTTGTGCCTTCAACACTTTCACAACAATTTTCTGCTCCTCAATAGGGAAAGCACGCTCGATCCTGTCACAGACACATTTAGCACACATGGACACACCATAGGCCCTGCTGACATGTTTGTCTCAGACAACCTCATAAGAACTTTAAGTCTCACAGCACAAACCCCTTGAAATCTGCCTGGGCACACGTCACATGCAGATTTTAGTGCTTTCCCAACCTTCTTGGTATAAAGGTAAACGATTCTATTACCAGAGGTTCGGGACAATCTAGTTTTGTTAGAGGCTGTATTGTAGGAAAGCCTACAACAGTATGTCAAACGCAGGACCATTCTGAGTGCCTCAGGACAATGTCCCCAGAAGAGAGCTAGTTTTTCTACTTTTAATAGACACAGGGTCTTGCTCTTGCTCAGGCTGGTCTCAAACTGCTGAGCTCAAGAAATCCTTTCGCCTCAGGCTCCCAGAGTGTCAGGATTATAGGTGTGAGCCACCACACCCAGCCCCATCTGCCTATTTTTGATTATAGCTTTATAGGTTTCTTTTGATGGTAAGTTGCATTCTCAAGTGATGAAATTTGTTGATCTTTTCCTTGGTGTTTACTCTCTAGCTTAGGAAGTCTTTACTTATCAGGAGGTTTGATAAATTATATTATCTTCTAGTTTTTCTATTCTTAAAATATATAACTTTCTATCTATCTAAAAGTATGCTGGTATATAAAATATGAGAGGAGTCTCTGATCTGACCTTTCCCCCCATTCTAAAGTGTCCCAACACCATATACTGAATAATTCTTCTCTTGGTCCTAAGTATTCTGGTGTCCCCATCGTCATCTATTGAATTCATAGGATTGATTTCTTGCACTATTGTTGCACCGGTTGCAACAGATATTCTTGTGTCAAATATTAATACGATGCAAACTGTGTATCTTTACTAAATGCAATATTTCTAGGGCTAGTATGCTCTCAACATTCTTCCTTTTCAAAATTTCTTTGATGAATATACTTCCAAGTTTATTACTCCAGAAGAATGCTAAAATTTCTTTCTGAAATAGTTCTAATCCTACTATAGTTTTTACTATAATTGCTTAAATCTGAGGAAACTGACATCAACTTATCCAAGAAAATCAATGCTTCACTATTTACTCAAATTTTACTTCTCTTGTCTGTTTAGATGCATTTGTTACCTTTTTAAAAATGGAAATCATCTATTTCCCACAGAAGTTAGGCTAGAATTTTATATTGCATATTTTTGCTATAAACAGGAGCCCTTTCTAACTGGCTACTGTTAATACACAGAAGTGCAATCAACTTTTGTATATTTTGTACCTAGCAACTTTCTGAACTTTATAATTAACTCTAAGATGATTGTAGCTGAAATATTTAATGTTTCTAAGTACATTAATTTTCTTATTCTACATGTTTTCCTCGGGGAATCACATTTACATCTATAGCTTCAACTACTACTGCAAATTCCAAATCTGTAATCCTAGCCACAATCTCTAGGGTAAGGTCCGGATTCACAAATCCCAATGCCTATACTGGAAGTTTCCTCCTGTATGTCCCACAGGAACTTCAAAATTAGCACATCCACAAACATATTATTTGCACCCCCATCCCCAGTCTCCACTCCCAGCCCACAGCCCCCAACAAATCTGCCCTTCCTGTCTTCTCTACCAAGTCACTCAAACCAGAAACCTAAAGGGAGTGCAAAACCGATTTAGTGCAAACTGTTATGCTAAACAGTGAGATTTCTCTATCCTTTACCCCAACTGGTACCCTCTCAACTCTGCTTCCAGGATATGGTTTATACTTCTCCCAGGTAGAACTAAAAGACTACTCTCTGGTAAAGCTGACCATCCAAGAGAATACTTCTGTAGATAATGACACATGAGGATCCCCACCTCATCATTCCGGGCTAAATTCTATCAGTTTCCTAATTCCTCCTTCTACCCAACCCAACATATAGTTGCCAAACAGCTTTTTAGTGTTTTACTCTTGTTTTTTGTGTTTTTTTCCTACTGGCATCTTGATATCATAGTGTTTCATTCTCAAATATAAACCAAGAGCCAGGGTCACTAAATATTTGAGGAAAGCTTCAACATATGGGCAGTAAAGCAAATGGGAGCAGGCGTGGAAAGAATTAAGAAAAAAACAGAAAAGAGGAATAATACAGAAACAATGCAGGGAGGAAAAAAAAACTTAAAAAATCTGAATAGAGAGACATTACAGACACAAATAAAATCTCAAATTTACATTTACGCACCCATTCTCAGGAATTTACTGGACTTAGTACTCTATCAAAACAAGGGTCTAAACTATAAAAAGAAGGACAATGAGGGAATCTAAAAAGTATGACCCAACACAAGAGGCCAAAAGTTCTCAGTATGAAGATGAAAGAAGTTCCAGTCCAATAACTGTGCAGCAATCCAAAAGAACTAGTCCTCATGAGAACAGAGAAAAGCTGTAGGAAGAATATCAGCAAGGGGGGAAAAAAGGACTTTTTACGGTTCTGGTACAAAGATTCAGGTTGAACTAGCAGAATTGCATAGAAAACTAGACAACAGAAAAAATAAAGCAATGATTATCACAAGTCATCATAAAAATTATGTAAGAAATTACATGTAATTATTTTTTAGCTATAAGCAATATTTAGGTAAAGATAATTTATGTAAACACTGAATACCAACTTAACCAAAAGTCATAACTATACTGAAAATCTGGGAGAAGAATATATGTGTTGTAGAGTATGGGTATGAGATAAATCATCTTCCAGTGAAGAAAGTTAATAGCTAATGACTAAAAAAAAAAAAAATCAAGTAATAACAGCATAAACATGGTATTTAGCTATGGAGGTTAATGCCAGGACAGTTAGAAACGTTTGCGGAAAGTGAGAATCAGAGGTGGAGAAGGGCAGCACATGGGACTCTTTTTCATTATAAGCCCTGAAGTACTACTTAAACTATACACCACTATTACTTTGATACAAAAATAAAAAATAAATTTAGAAAAAAGCTTAATTTTGCATCTCAGAATCACTGCAGGCCTTCAAAAAATAGCTTTTTGGTCCTTTTCTAAATGCGGATTTAGTGCAAAAAGCCTATTTACATCCCTATTAATCACTGCGCCCTTTGCTATTTATAAAGTATCTATTACTCTAAGTAACTTTATAATAATGACGATGTTAGCAATACTATTACTAATTAAAAAAAGAAACAGCAGCAGCAGCTACCATTCACTATTTACAAGGCGCTAGGCAATGTATGAAGTGCTTTATGAGCATTGTCTCATTTAATCCTTACTACAACACCAGGATGAGTAAATGAGATCAGAAAAGTTAAGTAACTTGCCAGGACCATATAGCTAATAAATGAGAGAGCTAGGATTCTAGCTAGAGTGAATATTTGTTCCAATCTGTCCAGGACAGTTCCCAATTACAGTTGGTATCCTGGCATGGTGAGCAATAGTACCCTCAAAGATATTCGAGATGATAAATTCTATGGTCACCCTAATTCTAACTGATTCTCAACCCCCCACTGCTACATCTGACTGGCTTAAAAAAAAAAAATCTAACTGACTCTAGAGCTTATGCTCTTAACCACTCATCTATATTGCTTCTCCCAAAAAAGAGGGACAGTGGAATGGCACAGCTGTTGGTACAAGCAGCTCCATAGGTAGTCCTTACTTTATATCCAATTTCTTTATCTCATAGAGTTTATGTACTGGAAATTATACCAGAAGTTCGGAGTAAATTCAATTATATAGGCATTTAATTACCTGTCCCAGCAATGCCATGAGACGAGATGGAGGCACCACACTGACTTCCCCAGCTAAAGCCTGGGCAATTGCTGCTCTTCTCTTCTCTTTGCTACTTCCATCTGGGTATGCCTGAAAAATGAGAGGAGATAGCACCGTTTCCAAGAAGCAACTATAAGATCTGAGTATGCTTATTTGAAACAAACAAATAAGCAGAAACATACAAAGAGGAAAACATGAAAAGAAATTACTCAGTTAAACAGGATTAATTAAACCAATTTAGTTTTTAAAAACTACTTCTCAATTTTGCTCAGTTGTGTTTCAAAAGTATGAGCTCGGAGAGAACTGAGGTCAGCCAATCTACCCTGTTATTTCTGAAAAGACTCCAAGTAAACCATATCAAAGCCAGAGCTGTTTTTCCAGTTTTGGAAAAATTTGCAGATTCTTTATATTCTCTGGTAAATGTCTTTCGGTCAAATAATTCCCAGCCCTGAAGCGCTTCACTGCCTCTATCTTAAATCCTGTCCTGGTAATTTAAACTACTTTCTTTACCCTCATGGTTACCCTAAGTTTACTTTAACTTTCTGTTTTCCAGTGCCTATTAAATTCTTCTTCCTATTTTGACAAGCCTCTCGTGAAAGGCTTAGTAGGAAAGAATGAAACTATACATACAATTGGCTTTGGAAACATAAAAAAATATTAGTCGCCATACTCCGCTAGTAAGCATAATCAGCTAAGAAGCTAAAGCACAAGCTTCTAGGACTAAAAGGGATGGAAGGAAACCGCAATAGTCAGGGCCAAGGGACACAAATGCTCAGTGAACATATTAGCAGTTGGGTAGCACTTCAGGGAGGGCTAATGTGGAAATGACATTAGAATAAAACTTTCTGCTTCTTTACTAACCAACACAATCCTCTAAAATGGGGTATGCAGGAGAAAAGACCCTCAAATACTCAGAAATCTGAACATTATTCTCTTTAACATAGGCAAATGCCAGCCAACATATATAAACAGAAGAGCATCATTCTCAAAAATTAAATCAAAAGGCCGGGCGCAGTGGCTCACGCCTGTAATCCTAGCACTCTGGGAGGCCGAGGCGGGCGGATTGTTTGAGCTC